TCTCTCTCTCTCCTCCTCCTCCCTCTCCCTCTCTCTCCTCCTCCTCCCTCTCCCTCTCTCTCCTCCTCCTCCCTCTCCCTCTCTCTCCTCCTCCTCTCTGTCTCTCTGTCTCTCTGTCTCTCTCTCTCTCTCTCTCTCTCTCTCTCTCTCTCTCTCTCTCTCTCTCTCTCTCTCTCTCTCTCTCTCTCTCTCTCTCTCTCTCTCTCTCTCTCTCTCTCTCTCTCTCTCTCTCGCTCGCTCCTCCTCGCTCTCTCGCTCTCTCGCTCTCTCGCTCTCTCGCTCTCCTCGCTCTCTCGCTCTCCTCCTCCTCCTCCTCCCTCTCTCTCCTCCTCCTCCCTCTCTCTCTCTCCTCCTCTTCCCTCTCTCTCTCTCCTCCTCTTCCCTCTCTCTCTCTCCTCCTCCTCCTCTCCTCTCTCTCCTCCTCCTCTCCTCCTCCTCTCTCTCTCTCTCCTCTCTCTCTCTCTCTCTCTCTCTCTCTCTCTCTCTCTCTCTCTCTCTCTCTCTCTCCTCTCTCTTCCCTCTCCTCTTCCCTCTCCCTCTTCCTCTCCCTCTCCCTCTCCCTCTCCCTCTCCCTCTCCCTCTCCCTCTCCTCTCCCTCTCCATTTCCCTCTCCCTCTCCCTTCCCCCCCCCCCCCCCACACACACACCTTTCTCTCTCTCCCCTCTCTCCCTATAAATCCATGTTGTAGGTTCATCCACAGGCTAATATCCTAGAATACTCAGAATATATCAATTTATAATTACATTTACATGCCCTTTTGGTAGCCAATTATTCAAATCATTTATTCTACAGAGCAGAACTACAAAATAAAATAAAATAAATATCCAGTTAGTGCCATTTTCGAATCCATTTAATGTGGTCTTTATATGCATTCAACAGGTCATATGGCTAGCACCTAACAGTCTCTCTCCAACATATTTTGGATATTTGGCTGATGCTGTTGCTTTTCTTGGTACAGAATATAATGGGTTTGTGAAGGTTTTGTAAGTATGAACTCAGTTTCCAGTCTATACTACATGAAAGAGAGGAAGTTGTTCCTAAGAAAAAAATCAGTGCTAATTATTCTAAAACTTTCAGTTGCTTCTTCATTCCATTTACTATCAAGTCAGAATGAACACCTAATTAATATAATTTTTAAAATACTTGTATCGAAATGTATTTCACCTTTCCTTATTTTTTGGCATTTTTAGTATTTCTTTCCATTTCAGAGTGGTGACTGTAGCAAGCATTCACTTCACAGAATCATTAGTCGGCATTTGTGTGTGCTATCACAGGCAACTTCATGCTTGGACAACCTTAGCTTGGACCATGCAAATCTTGGCTGTTGGTATGATCTCTCTACGTTTCCTAATCTGGCCAGAGGAAGAAAAAGCTAAGGACAAAAAAGTCAAGTAAAATTGTCCACACCTTTTCGAAACTATTATACCCGAACAGATTCTTACTTTGGACATTAATATTCAACATCATATCATGAACCTTCCTTACAACAGTTATTAAAATCATGAATTACAGTAATAAAATCTAGTGACATTCATTGTTTCTTTGAATTTTTATCATATCTTTAATGCCTGCAATCATTATTTAGTATATGCATAAACTATTGCATCCTTTGCATCAAGTAATTCAAAGTCAGTATTTGGTCTTTAAAATTAATACACCAGCCTCACAATTTTGAGCCTGTAGGTTATTTGCATATACCTTACTTATTTTTAAAATATGATAATCAAAATAACCCAAAAATTAAAACTATGACAAATTATACACTCATATGGTTTGCTACAAGTTGATAAATGGATAGTTAAATGCAGTAAAATACTTTTGAGAAAGGAGAAAAATAGAAAGCCTATAAATACATCACAATATACATGAAAGAGCTCATGTTTGAGCAGCTTTCTTTTAATACACAAATACTAAAGAATATATATAAGGATTAACCAAAAAACAAATAAATAAATAAATAAATAAATAAATAAAATAAATTTAAAAAAACACACTTCACTTATAACAATATTTAATTGGAATATAAATTTATATAATATCTGAATATACAACACACCTAAATCCTCTTTCAAGAGAACAATATAGATGATACCACTAACTTTACTTCCAACTGACAATAAAAATCAGTGGTGCTGGTCCACTATTAATATCTTACAAGAATTATCCTTGAGGAATTTACAGCAACCAATTAAGGCAAGTTAAAACCTAATTATAAAAATTATGCAAATTCTGCCACAATTTATGTACTGCCTCAAATGTTCTCTCTTCTTACAAGGAATATGATTATTCAAATCCAAACTTGTGTGTTACAATTCGGATGAAGGCACAGTAAGAAAAATAGAAAATTGTCAGCATGTCCATTTAGAGATATGTATTCCTCTCTGGTATGAAAACCTAAAATATAAATACCATGAGTAACATGATTTGAATAATGAATAATAGTGAGATCAAATCAAATGTTAGCGACTCAGTGGCTGTGTACACATATGTCCACTGTAGTTTTATTGCACATAGATGCATCCATAGGTGCTCAGCCTACTAAAGAGTCAATTAGTATACTCTATGTGATATTAACTTATTTTTTACATTTATTTATTTTTGTTGTTGTTATTTTAAGCTATTAATATTGATATTACTCTGATTATCATTATGATTATCTCAATGTTATTAAAATAATACTAAAAATAAAAAAATTACAAATAATTTATCCAATAATCAAAGAAAAGGTTAAGCAGATGAAATACATAGGACCAGTAACTGACTCCTTGGCTGACTAAGAACTTGTGAATTCATCTATGCATAAACACAATTAATAAAGTAAAATCACAATGGACATCACATATACATCTTGCCATTCCAGCACAATGAGTTAAATCACATAACCATTTTTCTTCTGGTTATAAATCAATAAACTATCTTTCTCTATAGCAAAACATTATCAAAAATATATTCTTGAATCTTTTACTAGTTCCTGCAATACTTCATGATCAGCTGTAGAAATCAGAAAGAGCCTCATCATCTCACTACTTGGTTTGCTTTGTACATGATTCATAATTGATAAACTAAAAACTGTTGGACCTCAAAAGATAGTTCATAAAACTACACAACAAATATGATTCAAGTTTTCCAAAACAACAAGGCCACAGCATCCCCAGGTTGATTCTGTTGAGAGTACTTCTTGTTTCACCTGTTTACACTTTTCCTTGATTTTCAAGAATATCTTATGCTATCTTATATTGATGTTACTAATGTCAATAACAATGTATATAATAATAATATCATCAATATTGATAGTATTCGTAAAAAAAAAAAATCCTGCAAATTCAAGGAAAGGCGAAATCAGGTAAGGTCACAAGGTCTACTAATTGACTCCTTTAATACAAAGCATTTGCAGAGTCATTTCATTTCACAAAAAATCTAAAATGAGCACAGCATTTTTCCAGTGACAGTGGGTAAATGGAATGGTTAAAAACAAATTATTGTTTAAGATAGACCAAAAGATCATCTGTCTTGAAAAAATAAAAATTTAACTGATATTTCAATCAGTCACAACCTTGTAAATCACACAATCAGTGAAAAAAATATCTAAATTGCAATGCAGTTCACACATAAATGGTGCAAATGAAAAGCTGCATATGTGACAAACACCAAATCATCAAGTTTAGAAATGAATTAAATCCTCTATAATAAGCTATTCCCTAAGAATCTAACATACATTTCACTGTCTTAATAATCTTCCACAGTACTTCATAGAGCAATTTAGTAAAATTTAAAAATAATAATAATAAATAATTCTTTTAAAGGAGTAAAACTTCTTCACACTCATGCATCACTTTCACGACTAGGATGTGAGTCACTGGAAATGACTGGCCCACCAAAATAAGCTGATATTTCTTCCAGTGTCTTGCCCTTTGTCTCAGGGACTACTGTCACAGAGAATATGAGATTGAGCACACATACTCCTGCAAACAGCCAGTAGACACCAAAGTCATTAATGGCATCCTGGAAACAAAAAATGGTTTTGATTAAATGAAGTGAACCATAAATAAACTACCTTACTTAGAGGAGAAATAAACAAATATTCAATTCACAATGCCCTATTTAGATAGATGAGGAAAAAATGAAAGAAGTATTTTAAGAATCTTAAAAATATCATTAAAATATCAAAATTATTACAGAATCTTCATACATAATTTTAGTCACTTGACTTACCTGAAGAGGCACAAATATCAGAGTTATGCTGAATGATAAGGTCCAATTGACCATAGTTGCTAGACCAGCTGCAGCTTCCTTCACATTAGGGGAGAAAAGCTCTCCTAGAGAAGAAGAGAAAAAATGCATGATAAATATATTAACCCATTCCATGCCATGCCATGCCATGCCCACTGTGAGATTCAATTCTAGATTCAATTTTAGAGCAAATTATTTAAAAAGGAGAAAAACATTACAAATGCAAAAAGATAACTCTATTCCAGTACTATCAGGGTAAAAAGAAGGTGTGAGCATAACAAAAATATGCAAAGATCAGCCTATCTAGCCAGTCAACAGCATGACGAACTGAAAAATATAAATGCCTCTATTTCACTTACATCTAAGACTAAAGAAAAACCTGTCTTACCCATCATCAGCCACGGAATGGGGCCATAACCAATTGAGAAGGCAGCAATGAAGATAATTAGGGATGCCAAAGGCAGCCAGCCTAAGGTTTCCACTGCCCATGCCTCATCCTCCATTTTCACATAGAAGAATTCCCCAAGTGCAGCTGTAAAAATGAGGAAAAGACATGGATCCTTGTACTATATGTTTTCTGCCTGTGAGGTTTAAGCAGTGCGATAAATCCAACAAGGACAATATAAGAATTACACAGTTTCTTTACTAACAGTATAACAAGAGATGATATGATGAATTCCTAAAGATCCTGTATCCTATAATGAAATAAAATATGAAAAACATATGGATAAATATAAAAAAGAAACCCACTGAGAGATAGAGCCATCATGGAAGCAGAAACAATCAGCAGGAGCTTTCTCCCTGCTTTGTCCATGAGCACAGTTGCCAAAAGGGTTGCCAGAACCTGCACGACACCGATGGTTATGGAACTGATGCTGTCTGAAATTGTTGATCCTGAGTCCTGCAAAAAAAATATTTGAGGATTAACTAATATTCTCAACTTAAGTGTGAACAAAAGATTTGTCTTACTCTTCTATACAAATTAGTAACTATGGGTGTTATTTGTATTTGGCAAATGAAATAAACACATTGCCTAAAATTAATATAAAGTAATTCCCTCCATTTCTCCTAAGGATATGATAATACATGGAAAAAAATGGTAGTTTTCTTCCAACACTGTGCCAGATAAGTGCACTGTACACTGTACTTTTGTATTGTGAATTTTACATACGCTTAGATAACCCCACAAGTGCATAATCACCAAGGAGTCAATTAGTAGACCTACCTGACCTCATCCGCTGTCCCCATTCCTCAAATTTGCTGATTTTTTTCTGATGTTATTCGTATCACTTTTGCTATAATTATTACTACTGACAATACTACTAGCAATAAGAAATAAAAATTAAAATCTTTCCAAAAACTCTAGAAAAAGAGAAAAAAGGTGAGATTTAGGTAGGACTTGTAACTGTCCCCTTGGTGACTGAGCTCTTGTGGAGCCATCTGTTCATATGTAAAATCAGTAAACTAAAATCACAGTGGACATGGCATGCATTTATACCCGCCTGGAATTAATGGGTTCAAAAAAACAGCATGAAATCTTAAAATGGTTCAAAAGAATATGTGACTGGCTGAAGTTCATAGCTGAGGGCCAGGGTGATAGGAACTTGCTGTTGCAAGATTTTCAGCTGGAGGTAAGGGTGACAGGAATGCCTCGACACAAGTGCACAAAGCTCATGAAGGATGATTCGACTCAGAGGGCATTTAGGCATTTTTGCATTATTTCCATTGATAAATGAGTGTGGAATGTACTGTGAGCCATGACCACGAGAGTGCCAGCTTCAGGAATGACACTCTTTCCATGCTTAGGATCCTATTCCTGTCTACCATGACCGGTGGCACTGGTAGTATAACAGAAAATTGAATATTGCAAAAAAATGAATGAATCAACAAAATAAAAAATTAAACACAAAACAAAATGTTACTTATTATTATCAGCACTGCACCAAGTTATGGACTCCCTAGAAATGATATGGAGTCAGGGTAAGGAAAACAGTCAATTACCATTTGGATAAAACAAATCAAATAACAAATATAGACACTGGAAAATGGCAAAGAGCTAAAACTGCTCAAGTAAGCCTAGTCCCTGTAATTTGGGCCATGTATGGGCAGTGATGCATCCAGGTCCAGGGGGTTAACTCTCCATCAAGTCACTGATAAAGAGGGTGGATTTATCTAATACTGCTGCCATTCTTGTGTCTGTCTGTTTTACTTAAACAGAGATTGCATATATAATAATATCACTTTAACAATAAAAATCTTCAGGCAAAGAATATAAAGAAATCATAAATTTTGTAAAAAAAAAAATACTTGAACAAAAAATGCATATCCCTCTTACTTCAAAGATGGTGGTGAGATTGAAAAGAACTGGATTCACTCCTGAATACTGTTGGAAGAACATCAGAGTGAGGGAAATCAAAAGTGGCTTCAAGATGTATGGTTTTAGAAGATCCTTAAATGAAGCCTTGTTGCGCTTTGCATCCTCCACTGTCTGCTGCAACATATTCAGTTCTGTCTGGATATTGTAGTCCTTCCCTGTTGATGATACAATTTTTACAAGTGCCAGAAATTCAAAGAATACGTGATTATGCAGTATAGTAAATCCACCTACTTTACGATGCTACAGTTCTTAATCAGTCAAGTTTTTGAACTTCACTGGGTGTTAGTAATACTTGATCTCTGAGGACCAGACTCTTTCCATGGGAATTTGCTATGGGAAACTAGATCAAAACTTGTTCTGTTCCTTTTTCTTTGTATCCCTATGTATCCATCCATACAGTAACTCCTTAATCTACTGATGTGGAACCCTACCTGAAATTATTTTTCTTAAACTTATGCCTAAAGGTTTCCTTAGATGAAATATATTACAAATGTTAAGAAAGCCTGACTAATGATTAAATGACACATAATAAAAGAAAATATTAGTGGGCTGCAAGGCAGAGAAGTCAACTATTCTAATGTTTTCATAACTGAATATGTTTAAGAATTATATGCCTGAATATAAAATACATAACATATATAACTATTTTTACCTTATCTCGATAATTCCATTATAATTTCTTTTAATTTGGGCAAACATTAAGTTATTAATGAATCAGTCGTACACTAAAAGTTATCTTCATTTCAACCATCCATAACATCTGTAAAACCTTTCCTAGAAGGCAATTTCACCTCTAAAGTGCTGTAATGATTCTGTAGCTTTATCCAGTTTTCCTTTTGATAGTAGAAAATTTGGAGATTCTTTGGCAAAGAAGACCATTACAAAGTAGATCAAAACTGGAATAATGCACAGTCCAGCAAGCATCTGCCATGTCTTCACAACAGCTCCAATGGCATAAGCATATACGACACCAATTGTCACCATTAACTGGAATCCACTTCCTGAATTATAGTAAAAAGAGAAATATTGGTTAATTTTATTATTTAGAAGCAATACATTTTATTTGTTTTGTTATGCATGTGGCAAGAACAGTACTTATTAACTCTGCTAAACTCTTACCAAGAGTGCCTCTTATATCAGGTGAGGCAAATTCTCCAATGTATGTTGGGACAACCAATGAAGTGATTCCTGCACAGAAGCCAGTAATAATACGGCCAGTCATCAACATAGCAAAATTCTGAGCAAAAGCTGAAAGGGAAATATAATAATAATGACAATATTAATGGATTAATTCAGTCTTATGTTTTAGTACTGGTTCTTTATTTCTGTATTCCTAATTCACAGAAAAGATCACAGAAATGCAATACTAAACAAAGCAATTCAATTTGCATCTCCAAATGTTACCTACAGAGTTAAAAGCAATAACAAAGACAAAAAATGTAGCCATTATCATACCAATAAGAAGCCAACCACCAACAAACGGTACCACAGAAGTCAGCATCGTCCCTCTTCTCCCAAGCTTATTGAGGCAGACACCCCCAATGGGACCACCAGCCAGTGCACCAAGATTCATGGATGATGAGAAAAATGAGTTCTGGGCCTTAGTAAGATGCACTGGCCCTGCAGTTGCATTGGACATCAACAAGGGCCCCGCAGGAGAGGAGTAACCTAGTACTGCCCCCATTGCCAGTGCTCCCATGGTGGCTGTAGAGACAAAATAATTCCATATATTTCAGAGGCAAATTTTGATAAATTCCATGATAGCTACTTCACATTTATAATTACTTTAAATTCAGTACTCAATAAGTTCATATATTTAAGCTTTGAAAAGGGTTGTTCATCACATACAATAACCCATCCTGAAATATCTTAAAATATCTTCTTAAAAATACTCTATATATTACAAGAGATATCAGCTATATTTACAACAAACAAACAAAAACATTACAAGGTTCTTTCTCTACTTCTGATGTCTAAATCTTCCTTGGACAATACAGTTAAAACTATGCAGATGTATCTCTCTACCCCTCTTATATATAACAACATGGATCATATTCAAACTACTATAGATACATCCTTTTACAATATTCATGTTATCTCATATGCACTGATGGCTACTGCCATTATGTTACAGTGTCCTTTTTTTAATGAATGCATATATAAATAAACATACAAAAAATCCACCCATAAGCTTATATGGTATTCTAAAGCACTCAGGACACTGCATGCAGATACTGATTCATGGCTGCAAAGAAATTTGGCAGCAGTCTGAACTGCTCCATTTACTTTTAACACCTCTAAACTGTATAACAAAAACCTGCTTGTGTGAAGTAGGCCCAAACTGTTGAAAAGTTTTTTCATTAGGCAAAAACTGATCATTTTTTCAAATATTTCTCTAAATAAATATTTTCAGCTGAATAACTAGACTAAATAAATTTCAATAGTAAATTGTGTAGACATCAATCAAGTTATTGAAATATAAATTACAAGTACATAACAACAAATGACACCATAAACATGAATTACTCGAGTACTTTAACCTTTAAAAATGCAAGGTTTAGCTGGAAACAAATGAAAATCATTCTGTCTCATATTTGTGAAATTAAATAGAGCACTTGTGATGTTGATAGCTTGCACCCAACAGCCTGTGGGAGAACATATGTTTCTTAACCGTAACATCACTTTGCTAATCACAGTATGCCACTTGAGTGGCATCATACAGTATGAGGCATAACAATCTTTCACAATATTACATTGCAATAATGATGTGTGCATAATGGCTCAGCTGGCTAAGGCACCTGAATACTGATCAACAGTGTGTTTATCTTGGATATATTGAAGACTGAATGCACTGTACTGTTTGGGAGTTTAAGCCTGTCTGGTGCCATGCTCTATGAGGGATTAGGATACCAACTATTCTTAGCACCACAGGGGGAGGCACAGACCTAAAGAACCTGTAGCTCACAGCTATGCACATCCAGCACCTGCCCACTTATTATCATAATAAAAAATACACCTCACCTGAGAAGGCTGTGAAGTATTGCACCTTTCTGGTAGGAGAGCTCCTTCCCAGGATGGGGGATGATGACCGATGGCTCTCCATGCTGCTGTTTACGCAATCAGCCTGTTGAAAGTCATTTTGTATTAGTATCTATAAAGCCTTATGATTCAATTACAACAGCCTGAAATACATTACCAAACTATAAAAAATCTAGTGTCCCCTCATAACTCTTTGATTCTGTATCAGCTTGGTACTGGATAAGTTTTCAATGTACATAACTAAATATTGCAGAAACAACATAACAAGTAGTTTATTTCACTGACTGTTTTGTCATTAAAACTTGATTGTCACACAAAATTAACTGGTACATGTAAGCTATAATATTACATAT